CGGCTTGTTTTATAACGTCGTTGCCAAGCGACGAAAACCCAACCCCGATGGCAAGGGGGATTTTCTTTATGGCAAGGGGGAAGGGGGTGAACAATTCAGCGCGAAAACTCCCGCAGGCAGTATGCGTTGGTCCCAAGAGAAGAGGTTGAAAGCGGTTCAAATCACAATCAATCATCGCTTCTGCTACCCGAGACTCCTTAAAAACAAAACAAAACTGCACAGACGCTCGATAAACAGAAATGGATCCACAAGGATGCGTGCACTATAAAATACGGTATACGGTATACGGTACGGTACACGGGTGTTGTTGTTATCTGCATCGACCGCGCAATCCGGCTGATTACTCGTTGAATTGTTCACCCCCCCTGCCCCCCCCCCGGTGTTTGCCATCGGGGTTGGGTTTTCGTCGCTTGACAACGACGTTGTAAAAATGCAAAGACGTCAGCCTCAGTGCGGGTAAAAACATAAAATGCTTCCAAAAGTGTGTCGTCATTTACTTTTCAAGTTTCAGTTTTGGGGATGCCCCGTCAGTCGACTAAATCATGGAATGAGAAGACGACCGTGGTACCGCCAGGTCCAATCTGCAAATCCCCGTGCGCCAAGACGTATATATATTTTTTGCGAACGCCAGGGGCAACAACGGGCGAGGCACGCGCAATCTGACTACTACGTTTATAGAAATACACAACGTCGGGGGGGGGCAGAACCAGCGCCCGATTTGGTGTTATCATGTTGTTCTGCATGTCGTTGTTTTGTTGTACTATTATGTGGTGGTATTTTCTTTGTTTCAGTCTTCGGGGAGGCAATACATCAGCGAGACGTTAAAATGCAAGATTAATCGGTGCGTGTCGATTTGTTCCAATAATTTGGATCCATCCTGTCTGAATGGAAAATTTGCTGTTGTGTTCTGACTCGGCGTTGGCCTCTTCAGAGGGCAAGCCCATGGCAACCTCTGCAATCGAGATCCAACTCAGAAAGTGGTGAACTGTAGGTGGCACACGAAGATCGCGTTATATCGCGACACGCACCACTGGGGGAAGGTCCCTGAAGTGTTGTAGCAATTTAGTAAATAGGCTAGACTAGTTTGCTGTATGCCATGGAATTTTTACCGCGATACCATATCGGGAACCGCGCTATCCGGGACAGCAGTGGTAAAATCGGGAACACCCAACACAGAGAATTAACTAGTGCTTGAGCGTGGTAATAGAGTTTTTCTTTTTCATCCACAACAGAAAAACTACACCATCTGGAACCTGCCCACGACGTTCTTTGCACACGGTGCGCGGTCCCTACCGAATTGATGCTTGGTAGCGTTCGAAATATACATGATCTCTTCGGAGATTTTCGAAACGGGTAGGTCTGGCACAGCAGTCGTGTGTTGTTTGATGGGAGATCTCGGAAGATGAAGGTACGTCATGTGACTCCCCGTCCTTTGTCGAGTTGCTACTTGTAAGGCCCTACAAAATGTCTGTTCAATACAACGAAGTTTCAACATGCAGTCGTGGCTCCGATGTGACGACATACGAGGGCGGTGTGACCAGGGCCCTTGCGACTTTCATGTATCGGAGCCCCTTCATGTATCGGAATACGAGGGTGCCTAACTACCGTTGAAGGTCGAGTCCGTGGCAACCGATGTCAACCCTCCTTCACCGGAGACCCCTCTCATTACGCACCCATTTGTATCGGAGACACGGCTGTACGGCACATGCTACATTCGCGGCGGTGGCTGAGCACGCGCTTTGCTGGAGTGGAAAAACGCGTACCAAAATGAGCTACTTTTGAGCGGAGCGAAAGGACAAGATGCGACTGCGACCACTCTTGAAACAGCTGCTCACGCGATCGCTACTCACGAAGTTATGTTACTCTCTTGCCCTGCCGCGTTAGGGATGCCGCTCCCTTCTTCCTCACCGAGACCACCTTGAGCTGCTCGAGGGTCAACGGGTGCTCAGGGTCGTTGACATGCCGAATCATCTCGAACACCTCCTCCGCATCGATAACATCTCGCGACACGCTTGCGTCCAGTCGGCCGATTGCGCTCTTACCAGGAGAACAAAAAAAAACAAAGGGATGCAGAGAGGCAAGTGTTTGTATCGATATCGTGCCACACAAGCAAAACGTTGTCACACCATTTCAACGCCATTCGACATGAGAAGTTTGTACCCAACCCCCTTTTGGCTCGCCTCGAAACCATGGCCCAATAATCTGAATTAACCCCCAGGTATTTTCTTGCCCGCTCGGTTACGATATTGTTCCCCTCCATTGGGACCTAGGCTCATATTGTGAGTCATGCGTCACCAAAGAGTCAGTCGTGTACATGATATGTACGTTCCACGTCCTCACCTTCCGTGCCACTCCCGAAGCGTAAATCGTTGGGTTTGCGTTCAGCTTCTCCATGATCACGGGTACGGCTGCAGTCTTGGCCTCTTCTCGACGTGTTTTTGACACCTAAACGGAAAGAGAAAAACATACTTGTGAAAAAACTGAAAATATCTTGATGGAGCAGGCGATTTCACGGCCTCTGATTGGTGGGCGACCCAAAGGAGAGAATAGCGCAAAGGTCCAGTTCACTGGTCGCAAAAACCAAAATCGCGCAGAGTCCGTCATTTCCCTGACGGCTTGTGTAGTGAATTGTTTCGGCTTGTAGTGACGTGTTTCAACAGAATAGCCAGTTGGTGCTTCATGATGACCGCGCAACATAGCCCCAATCGAATCACATCCGTGTAATGCCTGTTCGAAGTTCGTAAAAATGAGGCCACATGATGCTTGCGTCCCCGACGGCAAAGGAACAAAACAGCAGGCTGCTCGGTGTACAGCAGACTGTTTGGTGCTGGGTGGACTACAGTTAGCGCCCACGCTGGGGGGGGTTCTTAGTTCCTCGCTTGGGCTAGAAACGTGGCCGCTGTTGCACTGGCTGTAGTGCAAGGTTACTAGCAAGGTCCCACAAAACGGCGCCCAACTTCTCGTGGTTGCCACAAAGCTTGAGAAATATTTCGTTGAGAAACAGAGGCACAGAGGCTCACAAGCTGTTCTACACATTGAACTACGGCGGCTGCCCCACATAAGGAGGTCACTATCAGCTGCTGCCCCACCACCGCCGCCGTATTCGGGGACCCCCACTGCTGTACTTAGCTCAGGAGACTGAGGAGATACACCATCTGTGGGGGCGTAAAGTACAACATGTGACCCCATGGCCTGATCGGTCAACCATGGAGCATGCCTCGGATGTCGGTTGGCATACAGTCAGCACGATCACTTGAGAACCTCTACTTTCGACCGAGACTGGGGTTGTTTTTTTCAATTGGTCATGCGACGAATGCTCACTATTATATACATTTTAGTGTAAGGGTTCTTGACCGAGCTCACAAAAAATGGTGCTCAAGCTGTTTAAATTTTTAGGCCTTCGATACTCAATTTTTCTTCAAGTGTCTGAAGACTAGGGGTTTAGACGCTGGCTCTTTTCTCATGCATGCTTCAATCCAATACAAAGAAAGAAAACAATCTTTGGGGGATAGGGTTAGCTTTGGGTTTCTCCTGTCATCAGTAGAGGACATGGTGAAGAGGGGTCTTGCGTGCTGGCACGTTCAGGTTTTCTAGATACTGGAGCTGAAATATCGAAGGTCGAAGCAGTCTCTGCAAACAGTCCAAAATCTGGGCCGACACCACGCGGCATCCAACATTTGCCACAGCCGTGCTCACCGCCACGGACGTAAAACCCTGAACGGAGGGTCGTCAGCTACTGCTGTAGTGGCATCAGCGACTGCTGTAAACCCGAAGTTCAGGAGATTGGGGTCAGCGGCGGCGAGCACGGCTGTGACAAATGTGGGATGCCGCTTGGTTCCAGCGCGGATTTCGGACTGTTTTCAGAGGCTGCTGCGACCTTCGATATTTCAGCTCCAGTAGCAAACCTGAAGAACGTGCCAGCACGCATGACGCCTCTTCATGGTGTCCTCTACTGATGACGATAGACTCCCAAAGCCAACCCTCAACACTCACCAGATTTGAGGGTCTTGCGTTTTTACTGTGTTGACATGAATTTAGAATAGTGTGAATTTTGTCTTGATTTCAAAGGAGCCGTGTGGAGGTAGACGCGTGAAATGTGCGTTTTGCGCAGCCTCTACTGCCGCCTTGTGCGAGAACAAACGATTTCTGTTTTTCGCGATGCCTTCCGACTGGTCTTGTGTGTCTCTTGTGCGTTATTGTGGTGCTCTCGCGTTTGTTTTAAAAATTAGTCGACAGCGAAATTCTTCGTTAGACCCTTACGGCTATGCAAGGCTCCTCGCCATCCCCGGTGTCCCTGGGGCTCCGCGATGCCCCTTTTTCCCCCAAACATATATAAATATATAGTCTGTACTCGCTTCGCCGTGTTTACCGGGGGCGAGCGAGAGCACGTGTGCGTGTGGTGGCCAAGGGTTGTTTTCTGCTGTGGCGTTTCTTTTTGGCACGTGACGTTTCGTGGCGTGGCGTAGTGGACGGGAGAAGTTTCGCGTCTACGTTTCCCCTGTGTTCGTGGCGACATGGATTCGCATCCAAAGCTCGGAAAAGGGCCTGCCGACGGTATCCGTACGTCGGTGGATG